AGCTTCAGCAATATAGACCGCGAGCTAGGCATCAAGTGTAGCAAATGTTCATCACCCCAATCTCAGAGGAACTACAAGTCCCAGCGTGGGGAGCTGTATAGAGCTTCATCATTACGGATTGCAGTCTAGGGATCAAGCGTAGCCATGGTGCATCCTTCCAACTACAAGTCCCAGCGTGGGCAGCTGCAGAGCTTCAGCAATATAGACCGCGAGCTAGGCATCAAGTGTAGCAAATGTTCATCACCCCAATCTCAGAGGAACTACAAATCTCAGCATGGGCAGATTATAACCTGTAGATCGAGGGTAGCATTAGTGCATCGTCCCGATTTCATGGGAACTACAAGTTCCAGGACGGGCAGCTGAGAGCTTTAGCAGTATAGCCTGCAACCTGTTCACTAAATGTAGCAAATGTGCATTGCCCCAGCCTCTGAGGGACTACAAGTCCCAGCACGGGAAGCTATATAGAGCTTCATCATGACAGATCGCAACCTGTACAACAAGTGTAGCAAAAGTGCATCACCCCAACCTCTCAGGGACTACAAGTCCCAGCATGGGCAGCTGTAGAGCTTTAGTATTATAGAATGCAACCTCAAGTGTAACAAATGTGCATTGTTTCAACTACAAGTCCCAGCGTGGGGCGCCTGCAGAGCTTCAGCACTACAGGCTGCATTCTGTGCATCAAGTATAGCAAATGTGCCCCATTCCAACTACAAGTCCCAGCATGCCCAGCCAGCCAGTGATGCAGAATGTTTTACAATGGACACGCATGTTATAGTCCCGATTGTACAATGTCCTTTAGATTTACTGACACCTGTGCAATGCCGGAGACTCGCCGACTGGATAGGAATTGGACAGAACGTCCGCCAGTAGATGTGATTGTAACATTTGCGGCCACAGACAGTAAAATCCCATTTACATCCTATTTCTTGTTACATTTTCCATTTATATCTAATATGTCGGTAACCCCCAAAATGTTTCCTCCCTGTGCTGCCTGAGCCCTCCCTCCAGCCTCGGAGGTGATGATAGGGG